AGTTACCCTAGTAAATGTCTACATTTATCTCTCTGGACAGAAAGACCAGGAAAGAAAAGCTACAGTATATACTTGTAATGTTATTTCAGGGTATTCTCCCCAGGTTGCTCGAAGTCTCCTTTATTTTTATTTAAGAGGCTCTGAATTTGTGAAGTGACTCACATATAGGAATTAGGTGAGAGAGAATGTTAACTTCTATTTCTCAAAGCTAAGAAAAGCATTTTCCAAGGGCCCTCTTGTGGGATGTAGTTATGGGTAGACAAATGATAAAATAACAAGTGTTTTCTTTCTAAGTTGTTGGAGTCCTTTCTCCACATTGCATCAAGGAATTTCTGACCTCACAGTTTTATTTTGTTTTGGCAACATTTGAGTTCAGGTTTTCGTCAAGCAATTGAACGAATAATTTAGAGCCATCCCCAGCTGCTTGAGTTAGCACTGTGAATCCAGAAGTTCTGATGAGTATCTTTGGGCTCCTGGTGTGGCACTGTATGATCAACACTGGACTGTGAACCACAAGGTCAGCAGTTCACACCCACCAGCTGCTCCTTAGAAACTCTATACAGGGTCACTATGAGTCAGAACCAGCTTGATGGCACTAACACCAACAATCTTCAAATTTAGTCTGATTATGATCCTCTTCCTCTTTGGTATAGCACCCTCGGCATCTCTTTTATTACACACAGTCTCAAGATTTTCCCTCTATTAATTATAATTAGCAAAATTTTGCAGTTCTGTTTCTGTGTAAGTCTTTTTATATAAGACACCTTCAAAAAGTTTGTGGAATAATGAAATGAAAAAATAATGGATTTTTTTTCCACGAACTTTGTGAACCCCCTCATACATGTTTGGGTGTCCTGGTGTGGTGCTGTGGGTTAATCATTGGACTTCAAGGTTGGTTTGAACTACAGGGTCGGCAGTTCAAACTTACCAGCCGTTCCTTGGAAACCCTATTCAGGGTCACTATGGGTTGGAGCCGACTCAACAGCACTTAACAACAACAACAACAACAACAAACATATATGTTTGGAGACAGTGAGTGATAGAAGGGGTTAGACCCAAGGAGAGTTGACATTCTTTTGCATGGTGCCTACATGAAATACAGTCATTACAGTGTCTTTAACGAAAACATTAGTTAGATAGTCCTGGGCTGCCTCTGCTGGCATAGGAAGCTTTGTAGGTTGGGGATCTGGAGACATGCAGTTTTATGACTCATCCTGAATACTCACATTTAAATTCTTGAGTCTTACTCTTTCATAATCAGTTTCTTTTATTCCTAATAGCAGTGAATCCCCAATAAAGACTGGCCCTCCCACTTTAAATAACGGTTGCAGTTACTATTGGTATGTAACAAGCCACCTCAAAACTTAGTGGTCCCAAACAATAATAGTAATTTTTTATGGTGTCTGTGGATAGGAAGGGCTTGTCTGGGAAATTTTTGCTTGGGCTCTCTGCACAGTCATTCAAAGATCATTAGAACTAGAACAGCAAGGGACTGGCTGGGCAACTCTCTTTCTCAGGGCCTTTCCAAGTGATTTCTTCACACCGATTGGCATAGACTTCCTCACACCATAGCTGAGAAGTAAAGCTCCAGAGTTTGGGGCTGCTGAAGAATCATTGTCAGGAAGAGCTGCCTGGAGGAGCCAACATAGAAGTCTGTGTGGTTCCCCATGAATCCTTGGTTAAGGGTTGACTGCACAGGCACAGGTTAAGGTTGTTATGGCTTCTGAGAGAGCATATGTTATGGGATTGAGATCAGAACGGAGAAACTAAGAGGTTGAATAGAGCTGGAGAACATTGGCATTCCAGCCCAGCTAGGGTAGAGATACCTTGTTAACATTCTAGGCACCAGCTAAGACACTAGCTAAAAAATGCCACCGTAAGAATAAAGACCACACTCTAGAGCAGAGGATATAATCCACCTTCAGTCTGTTTTTGTAAATAAAGTTTGATTGAAACATAGACATTTTTATGCTGTCTGTGACTACTTAGTAGAGTTGAGTAATTGTGTTAGACGCACGCGCACATGGCCCACAAAGGCTAAAATAGTTACTATGTGGCCTTTTCCAGAAAAAGTTCATTTATGTCGTGTTTGATCATGATTATCTTAGTTTCTTCACATAGTGCTGGTAGCATAGTGGGTTATGCGTTGGGCTGCTAATCACAAGGTCAACAGTATCATTTTGAGGACCAAGGTATACCTGACTCAAGCCCTGTGTGCATGTGAAAATTGGACAGTGAATAAAGAAGACCATAGAAGAATTGATTAATTTGAATTAGGGTACTGGAGAAAAATATTCAAAGTACCATGGACTACCAGAAGAATAAACAAATCTATGTTGAAAGAAGTACAATCAGATTGTTCCTTAGAGTCAGGATAGCTAGACTTCATTTTTCATATACTTCAAACATATCATCAGGAAGGACCAGTCTCTAGAGAAGGACATTACGCTTGGTAAAATGGAGGGTCATCGCAGCAGAAGACCCCCCCCCCAACAAGAGTGATTGGCACAGTGGCAGCAGCAATGGACTCAAGTGTAACAATTGTGAGGATGGCTCAGAACCAGGCTGTGTTTTTTTGTGGATAGCGTTGCTATGAGTTGGAACCAACTTGTTGCCACCTAACAACAAATAGTGACTAAAACTAAATAACTGGTGGGAAGTGCTGTTCTCGTAAACTGGATAACCCAATTTAGTGAAAAATGTCAATTCTCTCCAAATTGATCTTCAGATAACAATGCAGTTTTAATTAAAAGCTCAACAGCTTTTTTTTTTTTTTCAAAATAGAAAATTTTACTCATATGAATCCAACTGATTCAGTGGCCCCTAACAACAGTAACAACAACAACAACTAAGAGAGCTCTGCTGTCTGTGGAAAATTACCAGAAATGATGTGGAGGGCATGAGTGAGAGGGAAATAGAGGCACAGTAGCACCAAGTCCAGAATTAGCTTGGATGAGGATGTGAGTCTGAATTGTGGGCATATGAAAAAATTCCCAAACTTATGCAGTGTATCAAGAGTGTCTTTAATTTCTAAAGTGAATAGACTGTGTGGAATCAGATGGATTTAGTGTTGGCAAGCTTTATCTGTGAGGTAGAAAGTAGTTTGGTTAAAAGGACCCTCCACTTTCTTTTACAAATTTCTCAGTAGTCCTGGGCTCCCAAGCATATCATTTCAAAAGATGAAAAACAAACAAACAAACAAAAAAAAACCATATGGCTGTTAGTTAGAGGTGAATTAAATGTACTGATCTAAGAAAAAGGAGCCCTGGTGGTGTTGTAGGATAAGAACTGAGCTGCTAACCACAAGATCAGCAGTTCAAACCCACAAACTGCTCTATGGGGAAAAGATAAAGTTCTCTACTCCTGTAAAGATTTATAGCCTCGGAAACCTATACAGTGTCTGTGAGCCAGAATCAACTCACTAGTAATGGGTGTGGTTTTTTTTTTTCTTTGAGGGGGGGACGTTTGACCCTAAAAATTGGTTACAGTGGAGACAATGAAACAGGGAAATGGGAGCTAAATGAGTCCACTTGATGCCTTTCCTTAAGGATTCAAGAATGCTAGTAAAACAGTATTGTTACTCCTTATTACCTGGTTTTATGAGTACTTGTTATCATATTAGTTCCTATCATTCACTATTTAGCCTGTGCCTTGGATGATATGCGAAATAAGCAAACATTAAAAATAAAATTTTGGATCATACGGGATAAAAGATGTTTACATGCTAAAAATATTGCCATTAGTTTTCACTGTTAAGCAATTTAATTATTTCTGTTGTCATTTCTAGGCAGAAGAAATTCTTAGACAAGAGCTGAAGAAAAAGGAGACGCCAAGTTTATACTGCTTGCTTGGAGACATTCTTCGAGACCACTCCTGCTATGACAAGGCCTGGGAGTTGTCTCGGCATCGTAGCGCCCGAGCTCAACGCTCCAAAGGCCTCCTTCACCTTCGAAACAGGGAGTTTAGAGACTGTGTGGAATGCTTTGAACGTTCAGTCAAGATTAATCCCATGCAGGTTAGAGAAGACAGGAAATTGCACCTGCAATTGACACTTACTTTTTCTTGGTATTTGACTCTTATTGAATGAGTACCATGTTTTCTCCCAACGACTGGTAAACTTATCTTTTAGTCTCTAACTTTTCTGTCTCATTTTATTTCTGTTAACTCAATTACAACTACTGAAATTAGTTATCATTGTAAGCAGATATGTTAGGAAGGAAATGAATTAGTGTCACGTATACAAACAGTGTGGGGCTCTGCAAGAATTGCTGAACTCAACAATGAAATGGAATCTTTTATATAAGTAGGATAAGATATAAGGAAAAAGGTTGTGTTTGTTGTTGTTGTTAAGTGTCGTCGAGTTGGTTCCAACCCATAGTGACCCTGAACAGGGTTTCCGAGGCTATAAATCTTAATGGGAGCAGAACTCCTCATATTTCTCCCATGCAGCAGCTGGTAGTTTTGAACTGTTGACCTTGTGGTTTGCAGCCAAGCAGTTCGAAACTACCAGCTGCTCCGTGGGAGAAAGATGAGGCTTTCTGCTCCCGTAAAGATTTACAGCCTCGGAAACCC